CACTCCTGCGCGTCTCTATGGTGAAAGCCATAATTCGAAAACACACGTGCACTCCAACCTTCACTGCAGCAGTATGTACAATAGCCGGGACCTGCAAGCAACCAAATTGTCCATGGACGGATGGATAAAGAAGACGTGGTACAGATACAGAAGGGAATGTTACTCCACCATGAAAACGAATGAAATAATACCATTGGCAGCAACATGAATGCACCTGCAGATGACCATACTAAGAGAAGTAAGTCAGAGAGAGAAAGCCAAATATCATGATATCACTTACATGTGGAATCTTAATAAATGGTATAAATGAACCTATTTACAAAACAAATAGAGTCACAGATGCAGAAAACCAACTTATGGTTACCAAAGGGGAAAAGTGGCAGGGATAAATTGGGAGCTTGGGATTAACATACACAGGGTACTATATGTAAAGTAGGTAACCAACAAGGCCCAACTGTGTAGAACAGGGAACTCTGCTCAGTATTCTATAATAACCTAAATGGGAAAAGAATTTGAAAAAGAATTGAGACATGTATATGTATAACTCAACCACTTTTCTGTACACCTGAAACACAAAATTTTAAATCAACTGTATTCCAATATAAAATAAAAATTTTCAAAAAAAACCAGCTTAAATGAAAACCCAATTTTCATATTCTTGGAAAGTTTTTCCCCTTTAAATATGTGCTGTATTTTTAATTTTCTGAGCCGGGTCTTCTACAGCCTGGATTCTCTCATAAAGCTTTTTGGCAAGTTAATGTTTTCTCTTTTTTAAATACTTTTATATCTGAGACTTTCCTTGACACAAATAAATTTTGATTTTACTAACTTGAGCTCATTTTTCAAGCACAGAGATCTTCCTGACCCAGCTTTATAAATCTACTATTTGGTATACTTAACCCTAATGTCTTCATGCAAGTTAAGGATTTTTCAATAATATGATGAAAGTAAGTTATGTGAATTCATATTCTTCTTGGTATGAGTTAGGGTATGTAGAAATACTTTGTTAAATTTATCTGCCTATGGCAAATATATAACAACCGTACTGCTAATCCAGATCAACTATTCTCCTAGCTGCCATCCAATTATAAAATCAAACATTTTACATATAGTTCTTGGGTTAGCCATATATCCAACTTAACCATATCATTGGGTCCACGGTTCTCTGTCTTACCCATAGAGAGAGCTTATCCACACGGAGATCATCCATAGGGAGAAGCTCCATCAAATATCTTGTTAATATTAAAAGATGCCCTCTCTTGAAGAATACTTGCCCATTATCATGGGTCAACATTCTTTTGGGCTCAAATCTCAAGCACTGAATCTGTGCATGTGCTTGTATGTAACCATACAGGGGTACCTCATGCAACACAGGTAAAAAGTGGGCTCTACGCAACCTTTAGGAAACAAAATATATGTAAAATTTTCAAGCTAACTCACTACTATGAAAGCATGCCTACTCTAGCACTAGCCTGTGGCACCCAGGGCAACTCCCTACTCATACCCTCACATTCTAGTCACACTCAGGCTCCCTCCCACGTCAGGTCTTCACCATCCTGCTTCCTCCTGCAGAAATGCTCTCCTCCCATGCCCTTGCCCAGGTTTTACACAGCTCTGAAGCTTTCCCTGATTTGATCAGAGCCCCCCCCCCCAAAAAACCTCAGACTTCCCTGCTGTAGCACTAATAACAATTGGAAATAATAATTCATTTTCTTTGACAGACTACCTCTTCCTCTAAATCTAGACCAGTAGTTCTCAAATTGCTGAGATCTTGGACCCACAGAATCAGAATTACCTGGGAACTTCTTAGAAATGTACATTCTCAGGCCCTGCCCCCGATCTACTGAAACAGAAAATCTGAGACAGGAGCCTCCAGGTGTGTCTGATGCTCACTGAAACTGGACAACCACTGCTCTACCGTCTATGGAGACGTGCATCTTCTTCTTCTCCCTATCCTTACATGGCCCTGCTCTCATCACCCAGCAACTCTGTATATAACCAATGCTCCGTAAAGGTTCACTGAATAAATGCGTGAATGAGTAGGCATTTCACATTTTTCACAATGTAAATGAGAGTCCCTTAATCAGGATTAGAATGGTTCCAGTTACCAATTTAAATTTTCCTTAAAAATGTCTCCTAGGGCTTCCCTGGTGGCGCAGTGGTTTAGAGTCCGCCTGCCAATGCAGGGGACACGGGTTCGTGCCCCGGTCCGGCAGGGTCCCACATGCCGTGGAGCGGCTGGGCCCGTGAGCCATGGCCGCTGAGCCTGCGCGTCCGGAGCCTGTGCTCCGCAACGGGAGAGGCCACAGCAGTGAGAGGCCCGCGTACCGCAAAAAAAAAAAAAAAAGTCTCCTAGAAGCAGGAAGCAATCAAATAATGAAGCTTCAAAAACTTGAACGTTCCTGTGTCGTACAAATTATAATGTTCAAAGTCTGTATACCTCAAGAGCCACTTCCCTTGATGATCCTCTCCAAGCATGGGGAAAATGAGATCAAAAAGAGTATGACAGGACAAAAAGAGCTAAAACACAGTCGTTGAACAACCTGGGAAACATCACTAAGCCACCGGGAAATCACCAGGCTACTCCAAGCAAGAATAACATACCTCTTAAAAAGATGAACCACAACAAATGAAAATGTTGAAACAAACAAAAATAGAAAAAAATTCAAATTCACATGTGTTATTCACACTTCTTCACTATATCTGTTATCTAATTAAGTTCCCGTTGCATTTTGTTCACTTCTGAAGCTAGAAACATCTCTCTTGAATTAAGTCTTAAAGCAGTTTTTAAAGAATCACTGATATAAAATAGATAACTAATAAGGACCTACTGTACAGCACAGGAAATTCTACTCAATACTCTGTAATTGCCCATATGGGAAAAGAATCTAAAAAAAGAGTGGATATATGTATATGTATAACCGATTCACTTTGCTGGACAGCAGAAACTAACACAGCATTGTAAATCAACTCTACTCCAATTAAAAAAAAAAAAGAATGTCTGAGTTTATGGTGGGGTGGTACACTGTTTTGTTCTATACCAAGAACAAGTTCAGAGTTTACCCAGACACAACAGAAAGAGCGTAATTTGTGTGTATGTGTGTACACAATACGCCTGTGGGTGTGCACATGTGCATATACGAGTATGTGTGCGCATGTGTGTGTATTCTGTGCATTCTACATTTAATATATTTTAATATATGGCTTTACTTCCTTAAGCCCAGGTCAACTAGATTTTGTCACTCTATTCACTGACATAATAAAAACTACTCACTGACATAATAAAAATATGAATTTTGAATACTTTCATTATAGCAAAATCAAGATCTATTTGTATACTGGATCTCATTCATTTAAGCTTCACTAATGCTGAATTAATGACTATTACATAAAATAAACTAAATTTAATTTGCCTTACTCATTAATAAGGGAAGTTTAGCTAAGAAAAGCTTAGTTAAAGAAACATTATTCCAGGTTACTTTCAACCCACCTTAATGGCTCTCTACATACATTTTCCAAATAGAAATAGGCCTCGCCTGACCATTATAGTAGGGCATTCAAGATCTTACTTCATAACTCCTTGTCACTCAAAAGCTGTTAGAGTTACTGTTCTTATTAAAAGTAATAGAGGTACTTCTAATCGTTGAAATTTTCCACTGATTTAAACTGGCCTTCCTTTGACTTATTCTGAGTTAGTAAGTACTTGCTATACTGTAAAACACAAGGATATACTTGGTCTTAAGTATTCAAAAGTAAATTCTTTTTAAAAAAAAACCCTAAGGACTAAGGGTAAAATTAACAATTATATAAATATAAAAATTACAGATTAGAACCTAAGGATACAAAATTAAGAAAAGAAAGTAATACTGACATCTCTGTATATGTTACAAACTAGGTCAAGAAATTAAATGTCATGATTTCAAAGATACAAAAAACACACAAAGAATGCTGCAGCACAGCCACCTTAACCTCAGTTTCTCCTACTGACATAGGCTGGTAAGGTTAACTTTTTTTTTTTTTTTTTTAAGATTTATTTATTTTTGGCTGTGTCAGGTCTTAATGACAGCACGCGGGATCTTCGTTGAGGCACACGGGATCTTTCATTGTGGCACGCGGGCTTCTCTCTAGTTGTGGCTGCAGGTTTTTCTCTCTCTAGTTGTGGCGTGCCGGCTCTGTAGTTTGCGGCACGCGGGCCCTCTAGTCAGGATGCCCAAGCTCAATAGTTGTGGCGCATGGGCTTAGTTGCCCCGCAGCATGCGGGATCTTGGTTCCATGCCCAGGGATCGAACCCACGTCCCCTGCACTATAAGGCAGATTCTTTACCACTGTACCACCAGGGAAGTCCCTAACTTTTTAATTAAGACAATGGCAGGTCAACTGCAGAGTTCCTGTGTGCATTATTCCTCTGGCTAAGTGCCATTTATATGGTAATTACTTTGCATTTAATGCAATTACACAGCAATCTGCCATAACTGAATCAGCCTATGGCTGCATGGCTTTTACTGACCAAAGCTATTGAGTAACCAAATAATTAAAGAGAAGTTACACAGTATTTCCATCCTGTGAGTCACAGAACACACTTTAAGGCTGTGTTTCTCCTGATATTATTTCTGACAAAAATGTAACTGTTAAAAACAGCAGTAATTGATTGGGCACTCACTATGTGCCAGGCACTGTGCTAAGGACCTTAAATTGAGTATTTCATGCATTCTCATGGCAGCCTTATGAAGTAGGTATCGACATTATTCCCGTTTTACAGATGAAAAAACTGAGACTTAGAGCAAATAACTTGCCCACAGCACTAAAAAGCAGTAGATACGAAAATCAAAGCTGGGAAGGTGGGCTTCAGAGTCTAAAACCTTACATTTCCTTCGTGCTACTTACACACACGTACTATGTAAATCTACTCATTTAACTCTCTCATGAACAAATTCGAGTCTGCTCAAATTGGGAAAAGGGTGGATAAATGTGGGATGGAGCTGACTGAACACGGCCTGTACCTTTCCTTCCTCATCACATGGAGTGTGGATCTGGAAATAGTCTTTTGTGGTACAGGGAGGACGCTCCGTACACTTGCTGGATCCTTCTTCTGCAACAGGAAAACGAATTTCAGAAATGAGTCATTTATGTTGTGACTCTAAGAAAAGGCAAACATGAAAACAAACAAACAAAAAGTAGACAAGTGAAAAGTAAAAATAACTGTACCAGAGGAATTTAGGTAGAACTACCTAGGCCTAAAGAACAAAAGGCCTGCATTTTTATTGTCCCTAGAGCAATAAATGTTTCCATGATACACAAGGAGCATATCATAGTTTTTCCAAGAAGACATTAGATTTCCTCCATTATCACAGAATGTTGTAAATTTGGAACAAATTAAAAGTTTCTAAGTACATCTCCATGCCAAGGAATCATCTAAAAGTACAAAATGAACCTTTTTAGACAAGTATAAACATATCCAAAACAGTTACCTTGGCGGGGGAGGGGGGAATAGAAAACATTACAGACAAAGAGAAAAGTCCTGCAGAAAGGGGTAATTAGACGTCCTATTTTACCCACTCAGTATGGATTCCGTTCAGCACTTTGGTTTCTGGCCCACTGTGTCCATCACATCGTATGTGTGATTTCTGGCTTATGACTATATACTCTCAACAAACATAAATTTAGAAAGAAAAGAACAAAGAGTATAAACTGGAGACTCATTTTACCTGAAAACTGGGAGTCCACGTCACACTTGATGCATTCTTTGGCTCCTTTCTCAGAATAGGTGTTTCTGGGACAAACTTGGCAGATGAATGAACCTGGTTCGTCGCTGAAGGTGCCAGGCTTGCATGGAAAGCATTCCGATGTGTATGCCACCCCTGTGTGGTAATGGGAAACAGAGAGAGCATGGGAGGACCGAACAGGAACACGCAAATCAGTGCATCCTTGCTGCCTCTACCTCTATTAACAATAAGCTTAGCCCAGGTCTTTTATATCCCATTAATTCAACACCAAAAACGTATTTACTATGTGCAAGGAACTGGGCTGGATACTGAATTGCACACGTAAGTGGAGCAAACACTTCAACAAGAGATTCAGACTTGATAGAGGTATACAGTCAATGTATAAACTCAGCTGTCAAAAGGCAACTCCACTAATCAGAAGTGGCATAAACTCTAAGGTTCCCTCCAAGTCTATACCATTCTCTCATCTTTGTGGCCACCTGCTCCCTTTTTCTCCACTGTTCACTACGTAGCTGACAAGACCTAAGGGACCCTGGGAAAGGCTCGACTTTTCTTCTGGCTTGTAATTCCAGCCTTTGCCAGCAGATGTCCCTATGACTAATGAGTTAGCATCACAGGAACAGGTGTACCTAGAACATACCAAAACGTTAAGCCAAACTTTAATAAAGGAGAATCAACTGCTTTCATTAAAAGTAGCCCTAATTGAGAATGAACCATGCCAGGGTTTACTGGCTACTCTTCTGAGCCAGAAGCTGGTTCAGAGAGGCAAAAGGTGTAGGAGACAGTCAGGCCAAGATATCTATTTCACTGTTATTTTTAGGGATATAGTGGTGACCTGAATAAGCACTATGCCAGCACAATAGAGAGTTCTCGAAAGAATAGTAGGATCTTATTAATCAATATTATTTTCTTTTATTTAAAGACACCTACAATTGTCATCATGTTTACTTTTTCCACACAGATTAAATAATTCAGTTTAGGGATAGGAAAAAAAAAATCCCAGTCAATTTGCCAAGAATAAAACCAGGGTCTCTAAGCCTATATGATGTCTAACATATTAATCTCTGTCCTAAATCCCCGTGAGCCAGCAAAACCAACAAAGTAATCAATATTTTAACTATTAAATGTGACAGGTGACTACCAGAGCAGACTGCTGGGAAATACCTTCAATTGTGATATTTTTTACCAACACTGGCTTGACGGCCTTGGAACCCATAAGGATGCCTGTAGTTCTCCAGTACAGTATGTTTGTGCCTGATTTCAACATTACCTATAAAGAGAACACAAGATACTCAGGTCAGATAAACCATGCTACCTACAACCATATCTAGAAGCGAATCTCTTATACACTTTTCAATGCATTATAATGAAATGGAACCCACAAATTTAAATCTACTGTTACTTGAGACCTAAGCTCTGCTTCAATTCTAAAAAAAAATAGTTTGCCAACCCCAAAAATATAGTAATGATAAAAGGAAAAGAAAATTCTTCAAGCATGATAAAAGATAAAATGATCTTCAAATCATTTGCATGAAGTCTTGGTTTATATTTCAAAGGGACTCATTTTAGACAGTGAAAGGCACTTGGCCCAATTACATATTGATTGGCTGCCACTAGTCATAAGTAGATCTTTGGGCTCTGAAAACAAAAAAGGTAACAGAATGAGTTTGCTTCATTTTAAAATTACTTAACAAAAAACACTGCAACAGCAACAAGAGAAAAATAGGACTATTCTTATAGAATAACCCGATTTAACTCTACGACTCCAGAACTTAAATGATACCACGTCTAATATTTGCTTCCTTTGCCACCAGAACATTTTTATATTTATAAATCAAAATCCTTTTCTGATCAATTTCATGCTGATTCAGTCAAGTAAACTAATGTTAAGGGTGCCTTGCTTTCTCATTTGCCACCCTACTCTTCTATGCAGTCTCTGGCTGGCCAAATTCAAGCAGTATAAAATTAAAACATATCTGACTACTTCACCCTGCTAGAGATTCAGAGAAGTAGTGTGTTAAGTACTTTCCTTTTGTGTTAAGTCTTTGTAAGTGAAGAAAGCATATTTCTTGCCAAGGGTTACTTGTACCTTCAAAGCCCAGCGGACTGAATGCTTAGGTGGATGGATCTTAAGTGGTACTAATATCACTTCCAGGCATACCGATCAAAAAAGTACTCTGAAAGGGTGCATGATATTAATCACTCAACGATGAGGTACCTGGACTTCCCTGGTGGCGCACTGGTTAAGAATCCGCCTGCCAATGCAGGGGACACAGGTTCAATCCATGGGCCAGGAAGATCCCACATGCCACGGAGCAACTAAGCCCGTGTGCCACAATTACTGGGCCTGTGCTCTACAGCCCACGAACCACAACTACTGAGCCCGCGTGCTGCAACTACTGAAGCATGCGCAACTAGAACCCGTGCTCCAAAACAAGAAAAGCCACCGCAGTGAGAAGCCCTCCCACCACAAGGAAGAGTAGCCCCCTGCTCGCCGCAACTAGAGAAAGCCCGCATGCAGCAAAAAACACCCAATGCAGAAAAAAAAATTTTTTTTTCAAAAGAAAACAAAAAAGGATGAGGTACCTGCTACAACACAAAGGCAAGGATGGGCGGTCACTTATTGAAACAGTGTCCAATCTACACTGCAGGCACCACACTAGGCCCTCCCCATGTATCATCTCATTTAACTCTGCAAGATTGGTCCCATTTCTCTTATGAACCATCAAAGAGACGAAGCCAATTGCCTAAAGAAACACAACTACTGTAAACCAAAGTTAGATTTTAAATCCATGTCTCACTCCAAAGGCCTCAAATAATAATAGATTCAGAGACTGTGTTACCTGATAATTGCCTTCAAGCACTTAAGAGTTGTCCTTAAAGAAATAAGTAGTTAGTCTACCAGACACAACCAGAAAGGGTAGAACTTTGAACAATGGGTGATGAATAGACAGACAGAAAGCAGGTTTCAGCTCCAGACATGGATGAATTTTGTAATACGCAGAGCTGTCCAACAATGGGGTCAGCACAGTCCCCAAAAAGACAAGCTTGAAAATCATTTGTTGGGGAGACTGCAGAGAAAGTTGGATGAAAGAAACTCAAGGATCCTTCCAATGCCAAGAGTCACGGATTCTCTTTCATGTGATTGCCACATCTGTAAACTTACATACTCAGAGGTTCTGTATATTAGTTTTGAGTAGACTTCCTTCCTATTAATGCCCCTTTTAAAAGGAGGAGAGTTGGAGTGTGATGGGAAAGAGCAGGAAGAGGGAGCGAAGAAGAAAGAGAAAGGCAGGAAAGGGCTTTCCTGGTGGCACAGTGGTTGAGAGTCTGCCTGCCGATGCAGGAGACATGGGTTCGTGCCCCGGTCCAGGAAGATCCCACATGCCGCGGAGCGGCTGGGCCCGTGAGCCATGGCCGCTGAGCCTGTGCGTCCGGAGCCTGTGCTCCGCAACGGGAGAGGCCACAACAGTGAGAGGCCCGCGTACCGCAAAAAAAAAAAAAAAAAAGGTTGGGAAAAGGCAGGAAGGAGAAGGATGGGGTTGGTGGGAAGCGGAGGACAGAGAGAAACTTACAGAATGAGAGCCCCATACTCCACTGTCGGTGAGTTTTACCCACTTGTCAGCAGTGGTGTCCATCTCCTGGCACTGATCATTTTGAATCTGTGGAATAAACACAAGGGCCCCAGTAAAGCTTCTTGCATGATGGTTTTAATTAAATTTGTTACTCAGCACAGGACAGGCTGCAAGAGCTTCTTTCAAAGTCTACAAAACAATGGCCATGAGTAATTCTCAACAAGTAAACGTGCCAAGACCTCTGGAGCCTAAGTGACAACTGCATATGAGTTAGTAGTTCTAAGTAAACCATCCTCATTACTGTAACAAAAAGACTAGGCCACTAAGAAGGTGGGGGTGGCGGGGGCTGCTAAGCAGGAGCGGCAGAGGCAGAGGAAGAGAGAGTTAGCACTGAAAATCCACATAAAGGGGAAAAAGTCATCACAAAAATGTAAAAGCTTGCATTCACCAGGCAGGCCCGAAAGTATAAAAATCAAGTTTATTTTTATAAGATTTGGGGCCGTTAAATTTTTAAATTAATAAATAAATGAAATCTGCTTTGTCTTCCTTTCCCCGGGACTTAACCCAAATGTGTATAGGTAAGTGGCTACAGCCAAAGTCAAAGCCCCCAGCTGGTATCTGGGGACAGATGTTAATGATATTCTATGCCAGTGCAAATGAATACAGCTAATATCTTTAGCACCAAACACTTTGTGCTTTTCAGACAATTCTTCCCAAATACCTAGGAGTTGGGACATCCTCTTCCAGGCCTATGAAGAATACCTAGACATCAAAAATTTGGCCATCTTGGGCTTCCCTGGTGGCGCAGTGGTTGAGAGTCCGCCTGCCGATGCAGGGGACAC